GGGTACACACACCAGTGACACCAGCAGCAGCCACTACAGCCCCACACAGATGCAGCTCTCCACAGCCCTCGAAAGACTCAACACGTGCTGTCTCGTCCAAGTCCTGGGACCGCCTTGCGCGGAAACCAAAGCCGGCATCATGGAGACGAAACAGAGGCTCATGGGGTTAGTGCCCAGCCTCAGGGCACACAGCTGAGAAGACTAAGCAAGGACTCAAACCCTGGCCAGGTGGATCCCAGACCTCTCCAAAGATCCACTAGGGAAGCAGTAACCATCCAGGGTTAAATGGAGCCAGGCTACAGGATCTGAGAGGCTGGCCAAGGGAAAGGGCAGCGGGGCTGCCGGAGCCCACGGGGCAGGCTATGTGGGGCGGAGGCGCTGCTGTGATTATTCCTAGAAGCCAGCCTCGTCTCCACAGCCGGGCCATGGTGTGCTGGAGGGCCGGCCCACGCCCTGACCTTTCTGTGCCGCCACCCTTGCTCAGCTGGCCCGGGGGCTGGGCACACTCCTGCCTGGCACCAACCTGGTCAGCTCCTCTCACTAAATCATCCATGATAACCTGCCCCCGGGGGAGGGAGGGTGGGAGAGCAATGTCACCGAGGGGTCAGGAGGCAGCTGAGGGGGGGCAAAGCCGTCTGCCGGGTCAGAGACAGGGCCTGGATGTGGAGCAAAGTGAACACACAGACCTGGGTTCCAGTTCAGCCTCAGGCTCTGACGCCCTCGAAGTCCTTGGGCCAGCCTCCCTGCCTCCCTGAGGCCCAGCCTCCTCATGTATGAAATGGGCAGACCGACCCCCACGCCCTGGGTGCTTACGAGGCCTAAAGGAGCCAATGCTGGAAACAGGTTTCGAGCAGGAAGGAGCTACATAAGTGCCTGTTAGCGCAGAGGGAGGGCTGACACTGGGTAAGGACCGACGTGATACACATCAAGGACTCGATATTAACCAGCTCACCTACCAGATGAGGCTCAGCTCGGACAAAAACCTGCTCAGGTCTTGCAGCTGGAACATGGTAGAGTAGGATTTGAACCCAGGTCTCTCTAAGCCCATTGTTCTTTCCCTGCAGGGGGGCCTCTGGGCAGGAAGGCAGCGTCTGCCCTGAGGCAGCGTGTGTCTGCCAGGTGCAGTCAGTGTCAGGACTGAGCCTGGCTCCTCTGAGGCACTCATCACAAAAGCCCCAGCCCCAGAGCCTTCAGGCTGGGCCTCTTCCATCTGGTCCCCTCCCACTGGTCTTCCCAGCTCAGCTCAGCTCAGGGCCTCAGGGAGGTTTCTAGTCCTGATGATGCCATTAGAAATCCACAGGGGTCCCTGCCCACCTGAGCGCCAGGGAGCCAGGGAACCCGCAACCCTTTGGTCAGAGGAGGGGCTGGCGCCAGAGCCCAGCTGGGGCCTGGCTGGGGGACCCCAGAGAGGGGAAGGAGCGAGCTCATTAGAAGGAGAAACAATGGGGTATGTCTAGGCTTGTTTCTCTTAGACTCTGGAGCAGTGACACCTCCTCTCCCTCCTCTCCAAAGGGGGCCAGAATCATGGAGAAGGCACACCAACCCTTCCCCCATGACACCCACCGTCCACTTCTCTGCAATCCACTTCTCAACTGCCCGACGCCAGAGAGCGGGCAGGGAGAGGGCTGAAGGGGAGCGCAGATCAGGGTCCTGGGTGCTCACTCCAGCAAGGACTCCCCCTTCCCCAGAGTTCCTGGCTGTTCCTGGACCATCCAATCCATACTCCCCCTCCCACAGCTGGGCCTAGGGTGCCTGGGCTGAGACTGAGCTTCTGCACCTGCACACACCTGACTGGGTCAGGGCTTGTCCAAATCCACAGAGGGTGCTGGCATGCCAGGCCTGGGAGTGAGGCGCCTCCGGCCGAGCAGGGCTCGGGGAGGGCCCACGAGTCCCTCCTTCCTGCACCAAGGTTGTCCGTCGCCCTAAGAAACTGGGACTCGCGGGACATCCCAGCCTGCTCCCATCTTTACGGGAGCCTTCAGACTGGGCACAGGCGAGCCTGCCTGCCTCCTCTGGGATCTCATACCAGATCCCAGGCCACAAAGTCGGGGAGAAGGCAGCCCCTGCGCCCCTCCTCCAATTTCAGCTCAGAATCTCCTAGCCTAGGACATGGAATGGCGGAGGGAGCTGGCTGCACCATGGATACGCCGCGGCTATCAGTCTGGACTTGCGGCTGAGGGGGACTCTGGGGCTCTGTCCAGGGAAGAGACGCCAACCCCGGCCGCCCTCTCCTTCCGGAGGTCTGGTGTGTGTGTGCTGGGGGCGGAGCGGGTGGGGTGAGGGGTGAGCCGGAGCAGATCGGTCCGGGCTGAAGGGCGGGGCGTGGAGGCCCGGGATTCTCACCTGAAATTGGGCGGCGACGCGATGTGGAGCCCCAGGAACGGGGAGGCGGCAGGCGGGGACGCGGCCCCCCCGCCCAGGCCGCCGCTCTCTCGCTCCGCCATTCTCCGGCACAGCCCTGGCCATCCGGGCGGAGCGCAGCGCGGAGGCGGCGGCGGAGGCGGCGGAGGCGGTGGAAGGGACGGAGGAGGGGGCGCGGCGAGAGGCCGCCGCTGGCTGGACCTGCGCGGCGGGCGCACCTGCGCAGGGCAGGGCGCGGCTCCCGACCGCACACGGTTCTCTGGACCAGCGCGAGCGCCACCGCGCGCGTCCCCGGACCTTGGCTGGGGTCTCCTGTGCCCCGCCCCGCCCCGCCCCTGGGCCCGCTAGCCCCGCCCGCCCGCGGGCGCTCTCCGAGGTGCTGAAGTCACGGCCCCTTGGCCCCCGGCTTGGCCCAGGCCCACCCTAAATCCCACACATACTCCTGTAGCCCCGCCCCTCCCGCAAAGCCTCCTCCCCAACCCTGTGTCCTTGCATGTTCTGCCAGTCGGAGGGCGAGGGCCTAGCGCCCAGGTATCAGGTAACTGATTGCAGGACCCTGGTCCCCAGGGCCCAATCAGTCCCCGGCAGCAGACAAAGGCAGTAGACCAGAAAGAAGGGTAGTGGGAGATGAAGACAGGTGAGGAGGTGTCCGGGAGGGACTCCTAGAGCATATAGGTTGGAGTCGGGTGGTGTGATTCCTGTGACACCTGTCACAGGCTGGCTCCCCAAGGGATGTGGCCTCGCCTTAGCGACTTAGTCCTGAGGTTTGCTTTAAATGGGGAAAATGGTCCCTCCCAGGGTGGCTGTGAGGATGAAACGTAATACAAATGTGTTGTCACAGAGGGTGAGAAGAGCCCGCTCCTCCTGGGGCCCAGGTCTCAGCCCACCCTGTCCCCTTACCTTAAGGGGAACCCTCCTAAGGACTCCCCCTGGGGGTCTTCTCTCTGAAGATTGACCCAAGCCCTATTTCAGCCCCAAACAGCTCCTCATGGTGAGCTGAACCCTTCCTTCCTTCCTCGTGGCTTCTCTTGGCTTTTCCTTTTTCGTGCCAGGCCTTTCCCAGTTTGTTCACTTTTCCACTTTGCACCCCCACTGCACTTTCTGCAGAGCACCCCTCTTTCACACCCAAAGACACCCCCTAGCTGGCTTCTCACCTTCTATGGCTTGGGACCTTTCCTTCCACCCCTACAGGCACCTTCTTGGAATTCTTGTGGTGGTTTTGCTGTTCCCTCCAGCACCTCTCTCTCTGTTAGGGTCAGGCTGTGCTGTCTCCCCATCTCCTCTGCCCTGGGAGGACCAGTCCGAGAGTTCTTTCACAGAGCATGGACTGATGGGCGTGCCGGCTGCTGGCCAAGGCCAGGGCACCAGCTTTGGTGGATCACAGAGCCTCTCACCTAACCTCACTGGCTTCTCTGGCCACCTGAGGGGACCGCTCAGGCCCTGTCCTTCACCTCTCCCTGAAGAAGGGGCGTTTCAAAGCGTGCGGGGCCCTATTTGCAAAGCTGGACCGCCAACTGGTTAGCCACCCCCTTTCCTTTCAATGGAACATCTGGAAAGGAGCTGCAGGCAGCAGCCCTGCAGCAAACACGTCCAGCTCCAGCCCTGAGAACAAACATTGGATACCTGGAGCCGGAGGCCTTGCTCTCCCTGCCGTGGGCCACCCAAATGGCCACTTCACCCTCCCCGCTACCATGGTGCAGGCTCCGTTCACTACACCCAGCCAGTCACCACCTACTGCCACGGGGCCTGGCTTTTTCTCCCAGGAAAGCGGTCCTGCCATGGCAGCTAGCTGTTCATTAGAATGGGTGCTTGTCCGTCTCCCAGGGCCTTTTGCCCAGGAACAAAGGTATCCCTTTGTTCTCAGTCCCCGAGGCCAAGCCAGAGACATATTAGACAGAAGCCAGGAGAAGAAAGAGAAGGAAGGGGGTCATCAGGGCCTTCAAAGCAGAGCCAAGGATGGCGCAAGCCCCAGGGTCAAGTTTCTCCCTTTCTCCTTTCTCCACTGCGTACAGGACAGCAGGTGATATTCTTGGACCTTGCCTGAGTGGTTTCCCGTGAGAAGCTGGAGTGTGGGGTAACACTCTCACTTCTAGGGGCCCCAGGGCAGAAACCCACACGCTGCACAGAGCGCGCCACTGTCCCATCAGAGGGCACGCAACAAAGCCAGTACCCAGGCCCTGGGCTCAGCTCTGCACAGATCTTGACCACCGACCCAAAGCCAGAGGCCCTGCGGACTGCTGCACCACACAGCTGTAGCCTAAGTGGCCGACGTGCAGTAAAGGATGGACTGAGGGCCTGACTGACCCCAGCATGGCGGGGGGGCGGGCTCTCTGGGTCAAAGGCCGGGTAAATACTGAACAACACTCAGGCGCCCACCTCATCTGGGGTCTGGAGCACTCTGTGCCATTCTGGCTGGCTGACCCCCAATGCTGACGAAGATCTGGAGCACCAGTTGCCCACCTAGGGGTATCCCCCTCGCTCTGTCTCTCTCCAACCCCGCCTCCCGCCGCCTCGAAGGAGGGGTGAGAGGCTCCCGGTCCCGGCAGAACCAGGACGGTCTGACTGAGGCTTCGCCCAGGCTCAGCCTTGCTGATCCCCAGGCCCCCGGCGGCCCACAAACTGACAACAACACAGCTTTGTTCAGACAGGATCGGACATTTATGAAGTAAGTGAATATTCACAAACTGTGGGAGGAACACACCTTCCCTGCAACAAGAATCTCTGTATAAAGTGCATTTTGCCTGCGACTCTCTTCCCCACGATGGCCCTTGCGTCAGGACATGGCCAGTGCTCTTTGGCAGCCCCCGGGGACACCTGGGCCAGGACAGGGGAGGCACGAAGCCATCGTGGTGCTTCGGGCCACTGGATGTACCCTGTCCCCACCCCTCCCAGCTCCGGGAGTGGACGGCTCCATTCCACTGGGAAGGGGCCAGCGTGCCAGGGAGGGTGCGGCAGGGTTACGTGGCCTGGCCAGCTTGTGCCTTGAGGAAGACAGCCATCATCAAATAGGCAGGAAAAGGGACCCATCCTGATATCTGAAGGTGCTGCTAAGTAAGTAGTGACTCTGGCCTGAAGCCCTCTGGCCCCGTTTCTCAGACCAGCCCTTCCAGGCTTGCTCTCCCTGCTCCTGACCACAGCCCCCAGTTCTCTTTCCGCCCAGCTGGGGCTAGAAGAATAGGGGTGTTCTCAACCCAAGGCTCCACACACACACAACCACCTGTGCCCTGCGCCCCCCCACATGAGTACGGGACGTTTCCGGTGAGGGGGCACGCGTACAACAGCAGGGCTCCGAAGGCAGCTCTCTGGCCGAGAAAGCCTGTGGACGTCTCAGCAAGAAGCCTGTCCATGTGCTGGGCAGCTGACGGGGACAGGGGCCTGACCCCAGGGCTCTGGTCCGAGGGCAGAGGCCAGTGAGGCACAGGGCTGGGGCCGAGGGAGTTAACAGCTATGAGGCTAGGGAAGGTCACAGGGAGGTAGAGAGGAGAAGGCCCAGAGGCCAGCTTAACGTTACATGTGAGGACAAAAGTCCACCAAGGAATTAGCCTCTCAGCTACGAGTGCGTGAGCACGCACTCCCACACACACAAGCACACGCACGCACGCATGCACGCACACTTTGTGGCTCTAGTGCAGGCCACAGGGTGGAGGGAAGACTCGCGGCAGCTGACCACAGTCGTCCTTTTTGTTCTTTCTGGGCACGGGCCTTCGCCAGTGGGAGGCTGAGGTGGGTGGCACAGGCCACTCCTGGAATGTAAGGCCTTGGCTCCCCTGGGTCCACCCTCCCGCCGGCTGCTCCTGGAAGGGCCAGTGTGCTGGGTGGGCTCTCCGCTCCGGCCTTCCCCAACTGTCCCCACCAGTGCCCATCCTGGCCTGCCTGCCTGGGTCCTTGGCACCCAGCTACTGGTGGCGCTGTCATGGCCAACTTGGATGCTGGCCAGCACCAGGCCCGGAGGCCTGCAGAGCACAGACCAGGACGGCCTTGCTGGAGGGGTGTCAGCTGAACTTGGCAGCAACACTGTGGTGTCCTGGAGTGTGGCTGGGGGGCCCAGGAACCCGCCTCCCCCTGGGGGAGTCACTGGGTCTCCACGGTCAGCTTGGAACTGGCTCTCAGCTTCTGGGAAAGCAATGGTGACAGCTGGGACGCTGTTCCTAACCTTAGGTTCCAGTGCCCAAAAGGTGACTGTACCTCCTAGGCTACTGTCTACTGTACCAGGCACACAGGCACAGGGGCACGGCTGTGTGGTGGCGGGAAGTTTTTGGATCCGTCCCCACCCTTGTGCTCTGGCCTAGCGCCTGAGGAAGGGTCTGGAGGACCTCGGGGCAGGGAATTTTGAAATGAGAAAGAAGCCAGACCAGGTGACTGTGTCTGGGCAGCACCCATCCGCTCCAGCTGCTCAGCCTTGCTCAGCGTCCAGGGCAGGACGGACTCAGCAGGGCTCTGGACGAGAACTGGAAATGTTGCCCTCGGCTCCTCGGTCCGATGCGAGGAGGGAGAGGGGAAGGGCTGGCGGAGGGGCAGGTGCCAGAATCCCAGCTAGGGTCCCACCACTCACTCTTCTGTTCAGACGGGGCAGCCGGTTCGCAGGGACAGGTCATGGCTGAGAGTCACAGCCATGACCTCTACTAGCCTGGTGTCTGAAGGCCGAGGTGAAGCTGCTACAGGTCCTTCTCCAGCCCAGGCAGCTTCCAGAATCACAAGAGTGTAAACAGATGCATGCACACGCAGATAGCACACCACTCCTTCCCCTGCACACGCGCGCACATACACACACACGCTGGCTCGATCTCTGTCGGCGATCAGCTTCTCTGCAGGTCGCAGCCTGCTGCCACGGCGGCTGCTCGGGCACCCAGGCGTTGCTCACGGAGCCACGGTGCTGCCGCTGAAAGAGAAAAACAAGTGCTAGAAGGAGCATTCCGGAGGCTGCTCAGCTGCCCAGGGACAAAGCTCCTCCGTCTGCGGCTCTGGGGATGCTCAGATGGGAACTGGGGAGAGCGGACCACATGGGCCACAGCGCCTGGGGTCGAGGCTGTTGCTGGGATGCCACCGGGTGCCGGAGACTGCCGCTCTGAGGTGCCCACACAGGGCCAGCTCTGCCCCGCAGACCCACCGGGCCTCCCCTGCTCAGGGCCTAGGGTGTCGGCGGCGGAGGGGAGGAGAAGGCCATGCGAGGCTCGTACGCAGCCTTGGGGGACCCTGTTCAGATACAACAAGGGCAGTTTCTGAATCAAGGCAGAGTAGCTGCTGCCCGAAATGGAAAGTCAGGAAAAAAAATGCCTGGAAGAAGTCAGCCGGGACCAGTGATTTTTGAAGATGAAGGCAATAGCTGAGTTTAGAAATTTCCACAAATAGATAAAAGAACCGTGGCCCTGTGCTAGAGGACTGAGGGGAGGAGAGAGGAGACACAAGGATGACTCATTTTAAAGATTTATAACATCCGAATCTGGGGCAGAGGGAAGAAATGGCTCCATGCCCGGTAACAGAGGCCGGGGAAGCCAGGCAGGAGGCCGGGCTGCCTGCCTAAGCAGCCGTAGTGTGCCTGAGTGTGCCCAGGCACTCTGCGCACCGTGGACAGTGTGCCAGCCCGCACGGTGCAGGGGCAGTACAAGAAGGCTTACTGAGCCTGGGGGGCAGGCACTGCCCACCGGTGTTCCGGCTGCATCGTCTCCCCAAGGCTCCTATGTGACAGTCCTGACCTCAGACTGTGACTGTGTTTGGAGACAGGGTCTCCAAAGAGGTGACTAAGCGAGGTGCCCCAAGCACCCTCCCTGCAGCGCACAAATCACACAGCAAAGGCGGGGCCCCATCGGGTGACTGGGGCGGGCCCTAGTCCCACCAGGACTGCCGCCCTGGTGGAGAGGAGACCAGGGCACAGACAGCTCCGAGGGAAGACTGTGTGGAGAGGCGGGGAGACGGCGGCCACCTGCGAGTGGAAGAGAGTGGCCTCGGAAGGACCCCGCCTGCGGTCACCGCGATGTGAGACCGCACGTCCCAGCCTGCTGAACGGTGAGAGTTGGTTCCTGTTGGTCAAGTCACCTGGTCTTTGGCGCTTTCCCACGGCTGCCCGAGCAAACAGCCCACCAGCCCCGAAGCGACGGCCCTCATTTGTACGGATGAGAACACGGAAGCCAGAGAGGACAGAGAACGCGCCCAGACCTCGGCATCCAGAGGCGGCCGAGCCAGCCCGGGAACCCCAGGCCGGTCTGACCCCCAGACCCGCACGCTTACCGCCGAGTGAGCTCTGTGTCATGGGGCGGCTCAGTCAGACTTTCAGGAGATATGAGAAAAAAGTTCAGCACGGTGGCGTGGAGACTAGTGTCTGAGCAACACAAACGTGGGCCTGGGTGTTAGCAGAGAAGGAAAAGTGCTGTCATGGGTCAACAGCATTGGACTTGGGACTTAAAATCCGTCTCCTGACACACGAAACCCTTGCAGGACCAACGCTAAGTCTGAAGACAATTTCATCTGATTTTACCGTCAGAGAATTTACCCCGGAGCCGGGTGAACTAGAGCAAAAGCAGGAGCGACCACCCGCGCAGGTCCGTGCTGGGTGCCCCGTTCTTCAGGGTGTGTGTCATTTTTAGTAATGTTCCCTCTACGCTTGGACTGTAACAACCTGGCCGTGTGTTTTTGCTACGAACAAATGTTACGAAAGTGTATCTGTGTTCGCTGATCCCGCTGGCTGTGGGGGGGCCCCACACCCTGGTCTCTCCGGCCCCTGCCGTGAGGCCAGAGAGAGGGCCACTGCTCTCCAAAACGAGAGACTTCGGCACCGGCGGTGTGTGCACCACCGCAGGCTCCCGCCCGGTGCCTCAGCTTCCTGTGTCTCCCTCCCCTTCGGGCACGGGGGAGAACAGAGTGCTGGGAGACTCCCAGGGCCAGGGCTCTCACTCTGGGCTTCCTTTGCGGGGTCCGAGGAGAGGCTTGGGGGCAGCGCACGAAGACCCCGATGTTCTGTGCACGTTTTTTTTCTGTGTGTGAACAGGTGCAGCCTTCTGGGGAGAGGTTCCATCCTGCGTCAGACTCACCAAAGCACGGTAACCCAAAAAGGGTTGAAGAGCCGATGCCTAAACTTAGACAATAAGGGCGTGAGGGGCACTTAGGTGGCTATGATGATGGCAATTCAGACCTATGTAGACTCAGCCATGACTTAGCTGTGGGACAGGCCCATGAGGGGAGGTGGCAGTGTCCTGGCCTCAGAGGAGCCCCAGTGACCCGAGTCCTTCTAGGATGGGCTCGAACACACGAGCACAATTAATGGAGGTTCATAAGCACCAGCTTGCCCATGACAACAAAGGCCTGTTCAACTCGCTACTCAAGGTGCTCCATCCACAGACAACCAGCTGGTCCCCGTGCTCTAGTCCTCAAGCTAAGGGACAGGTCTGCGGAAAAGGGGCTGGGGCATCAAGGAGGCCCCGCAGGAAATGCCGACAGCAGCACAAAAGGAGAAGGAAGAGCAGCCAGGGGAGAGGCGCCAGGGGGAAAACCGACTCATAAAAGGTGCACTGAAAAATCAGTCTTCTGACTGTCTGATTCTCCCACCCTGTCATTAATAGAAGAAACATGGAAGCAGCTGGAACACAAAATAAACTAATGACTGCCTCCCTCAGTGCGTGCGTCCGTTAGGACAGCCCCCCTAAACACCTGTGCCCTCACACCCCCTCCTGCCCACTGGATGCTGACGAGAAACCCAAACCTGCAAGCCCACCCTCCCCTCAGCCAAGCCCAGGAGGGGGGTGCATGCATGAGCCACGTCAGCAGAGGGCGCCACACTGGCTCAACATCTGCCTGTAACCACGTCTCAGCGGTCACCCTCTCCCCACCACACTGGGCGAGGCACAGTGCCCCAGAACTTGAGAGGGGTGGAGAGCCTGCTACCGGCTCCCAAGTCAGGAGCAGGGGAGTCGAGGCGCAGCTGGGCCTGGATGGGGCTCAGAACTCCGGCCTTCAGCTCAGTCTCGTGCGTCACGTCCACCACACGCGTGTGCCCTTCCTGCACCCTGCACATCACACGGCAAATGGGAGGGGGCCTCAAGTCAGTCAATGGCCGCTGAGTGAGTGCCAGAAAGAGTGTGAGGGGACGGAGTCCTGCCTTCTCGTTTCCAGGTCGAACTGAGAACTGCAAAGGTGAGGCAGCTGGGGCGAGGGTTCCCAGGCCTGGAGCCCCAGGACAAGACGCAGACACCTGCCTGGTGAGGGCGTAGCCAGGGCTCTTTTCCGAGTGCCACACTGCCCACTCTGAGGTGCCCCGTTTCCCAGATCGCCCAGTGCCTTCCACACACTCTATTTCATGTGGGGAGGGGTCTACCACTAAATGAGGGCCAGACAGATTCCTATGAAGAGATGCCAGAGGTCCAGTTTTCCGCAGTGAGGCTCCAGGGTAACTGAGCCCTGGTACACTGCCCGAGGAGGAGGGGCAGAGGTGGTCCTGGCCACAAACCTTCTGTAGTCCATGGGGCTTCTCTCAACAGACCGCTGTGTACCAGCAGAAAGGCAAGTGGGTCACGTGAGCTGTTCCCCCTACGGTAATATAATTGGACCCATAAGAGGAATCTGTACACAATTGAGGCTAATAGAATCCTGAGCCGTCAGCAGCTTTGGGGATCACAGGGTAGCCGCTGAAATGACAGCTATTTCGGGACTGACTTGTTTTCCAGTTTGGCGAACACTGCACAATAAAACCAAAGGCAGACGAGACACTGGTGTGGGTCTGAGGTGAGCATGGACCCTACCGACCTGACGGCCTGCTGCCCACAAGATCGGTTTACACTGCAGACCACTGTCTGCCCAGTGAGTGGCCATAGGCCCTCGGCATCAGGAATAACAGAATCACGACCACAGCTCACAGACCACAGCGCACAGCCTGACCAGAGCCTCTGAAGGCCCAGGACGGAGCCTTCGGGCTGGTAAAGGACGATTATTCACACCTTACAGCTAACGCGTCTCAGAAAGGTCACTACCCTAACCCAAGGCACACAGCTGAAACTGACAGGAAGGAGGGGAGAAAGGGACAGTCTCCTGCCTCTCAGCATAACACTGTATCCACTGGGCCAGGAGGCCGCTGCTCTGGGGCCCCCTCGGCCCCGTGTGCGGCTGTGACTGAAGGCACGGTCAACACGTACAAGACGGCAATGTGATTTCCCCTGCGTGGTAAACTGAGCTTATTCCACGGCTTTTCACATGTGAGTTTTCATTTTCTTTTCCTAACGTGTTTGTTCAGGGGGAGCGGCAGGTGACATGGTGCTCTTTTACAGACGAGGACGAGGAAGGGCTTCGGGCCCAGGGGCGGTCACCAGCACACAGTGAAATAGAGTGTGCTCCTTTCTCTCAGGGTGCAAAGAACACAGGTGTTCTTCCCCAGGCTGTCTTGCCCTCTGACCTCCTGGCCCCTACTTCCAACCAATCAGCCATGACCAAGGTCGGAGTAAACCTTGAGAATTGGTCCTTAAGATCCCAAGAGGCTGATGGACAATCTCCTGGACTACAAGGCAGGACTCGGGCCCTGACCTCTGCACCCTTGTAATGTCACCTGGAATCCCTGCTGCGGCCTCTTAGCGGGCTCCCTCCTGCCACCACGTCCTCTGCAGGTCCCAGCCCAGTGCCCGGCTAGTCTTCCCCAAGGGTCAGTTTGAACACGCCACTCTCCTGGTCCAAAAGCCCCTAGCTCCTGCAGAGCATATCAAGGACCCAGCTGCCTGGCATTTATGATGCTCCAGGATCAGGCCCAACTAGGTAACCTTATGTTCTTTCAAAATAATAATGATGATAATATCCATCATCACAGCTATCATTTCCTGGGTACTTAGCCAGACACCGAGCTAAGTGCCTTGTGTATTATACACTCTTATCTGTCCGTACTGCCTAAATTTTGTTCAATGGGTCACAAGCCTGCCCCTGATAATGGGCCATGATTGGTCTAAGTCAGTGATTCATGAAGTTCAGTCCCAGGACAGAATCATCATCAATCTCTGGGAACTTTTTCAAAATGCAAATTCTTTTTTATAAAATTTTTATTTATTGATTTTTAGAGAGAGGAGTGGGGAGAGAGAGATCAATTTGTTGTTCACTTACTCATGTAGTCATTGGTTGATTCTTGCAAGTGCCCTGACCAGAGATCGAACCTGCAACCTTGGAGTACGGGGATGATGCTCTAACTGACTTTTGAGTTACATGGCCAGGACAGAAATGCAGAGTCTGAGGTCCCACTCCAGACCTACTGAATCAGAAGCTCTGTGGGTGGGGCCCAGCAGCCCGTGGCTTAAATTCTCTAGAGGATTCTACTGCTCACTCAAGTTGAAAAACCAACAATCTAAACTAATCTGGACAAGCAGGATCCCTACTTCCCAGCTTGGGGGTGGCTTTATGGCTGAGTTCTGGCTCAGGAGACCAATGTCAAAAGCTGGGGGAGGGTATTCTGGGAAAGCTTTTACCTTCTTGATACAATAAAGAGAGGCCCCCCCTGACAGCCCTCATAAGGCAAAACTGCAACCTCAACTGTGCCCTAACCTTTACTTTCTCTCTTCTTATTCAACTTTACTTTTTCTTTATACCGCTTAGGGCCTCTTTATTTATTTTTAGAGAGAGAGGAAGAGAGGGAGAAAGAGAGGGAGAGAAACATCAGTGTGTGGTTGTCTCCCAAGCACCTCCTACTGGGGACCTGGCCTACAACCCAGGCATGTGCCCTGAGTGGGAACTGAACCTGCGACCCTTTGGTTCGCAGGCCGGCATTCAATCCACTGAGACTCACCAGCCAGAGCGAGCCTCTTGACATATTATATATCTATTTGTTTATTGTCTAGCTCCTCCCACTAAGAGTACCCAAGAGGAAAGGAACTTTGTAAGTCATGTTCATATCCCAATGCCTACAATTTGTCTGGCAAATTGTGATCACTTAATATATGTTTACTAAATGAATGAGTACAGCTGCCTGTGCTATTCCTTCTCTTTCCTGTTTTGGATGAGAAGTTGATGGCTGAAGCTGTGGCAGCCACCTTGAGTCCATGAAGCAAGAGACTCTCAAGAAAGCTGATGCTGGCATTGTTAAGCCACCAAACCCAAACCAGCAACACCCACCTCTGGGCCTCTTGTTAGGTAAGAAAATCAGTTCCTATTTGTTGTAGATCCAGTGGTCAGGTTTGCTGCTCCCAGTGGCCCCATACATTCCTCACTGGCACTTACATTTAATCTTTGCAACAGCAATCTAATTTAAGGGTAAGGAAACTGAGTCTCAAAGTGGTTAAGTGATCTGTTCCAGATCACTTAATCACTGACCTGTTTTTCTTGTGGGAAATACCCTCTAACTCCAGCCCACCTTTCGGGCCCCTCGTGTAAACTTCTGTATTGTGTGTGCCCTGGTCACTCCAGCCCACCGACAGCTGTTGTCTGATGAGTTTGTGCAGCCCGTAGCATCTGTCTAGGAATCGCAAGTTACTGGTCTCCTCTTCCTGTTAAATCCTTGTGGGTCTGCATCACATCACATTTTATATGCAGTTTCTCACACACCTTTTGGCAACAATTTCATGCTGAATTGGATGCCACTAGCTTACTGAGCGGCCTTGACCTGGACATTTAACCTCTGTCCTTTGGTGCTCTCACCTGGACGTCAGAATATCAGCCTGGCAAGTGCCAGATTTGTAGAACAGAATGAACTTTGCTTAGTGTCACAGGGCTGAGAGACAACTAAGAGATCAGCATCTAAGGCGGCCGGCGCTCCCAGAACAAAATAGCACAAACCTGCCCATCAGCAGCATCCAGGACAAAGAGCCTGGTTGGGCAGCGGGCACGAGCATCAAACACTCGCTGTGTCACCGCATTCCAGCCCGGACGCGCACACGGACGGCCCGCCTAGCCCCGAAGGCGGGGGTAGGGTTGGCAAAGAGAATCAATCGGCTCCATGGAGAAGATCACCCTCCAGTCGCATGAGGTGCTCACGGCACAGAAGGAACAGCCTGAGACGATGACTCAAAGAAGACGTAAGAGACCGTTCCTGCTCTAGGGAAGCAGGGGTCAGGTGGTTGTTGTTTTTTTTTTAAACAACTTTCAGGGGGTTTCCAAGAAAGAGGAGTGCCAACAGGCATGCACAGGGCCAGAGCCGTGAGAAAGGTGAGAATGGAGGGGCGGCTGTTAAGAAGCACAGAGGCTGGGGAGCCCGACTACTGGTCCTTCCGTGGGGCTGGGCTGCGTGAGCCTCTCTCCCGAGGGCCAGTGCTGCCCTCCCCTGGCCCATCTATGGAACACGGCTAATCGGGGCGGGTGGCAGGGGGTGGGGGTCGGATGGCAGAGGGGCCTTCAGCATCCTCAGACCCTGCGGCAGGCTCACCTCCCCCACAGCTTCATTTCTAGGTCTCTGCCTTCTTCTCGTTGGATTTGACTCACTTTGAGAAGTAGAAAGAGCCCTCCTCCATCCCTAATGTTTTCCCCTTAGTCGGCAAAGAAAGGGCTTCTCTTTTAAATTAAATTTGAGAAGGATAGAAGTCAGAATGGTAGAAGTTTTGAACTGGAGCCCTAAGAGATCACGTAGTGCCCACTGGTTTTTAGTCTAGCGTGCTGGGTTGCAACCCTCAGCTAGAAAGCAAGCAGTTTCCCCATCTCCCCCTTTCCCTCCTGAGGCTGACTCTATGCTGCTGTCACTCACTCTCAGACGTCCCTGCTCGGCAGCTCTGGGGCGGGCAACTCAGCCACCCTGGCCCGTTTGCTGAGTTCTTCCCCGGGCGGCTCCTCCGCGGCTTCCAGCTTGCGTTTGGGGGATGCTGGGCCACTGGGCAGCGGCCTCGGGCCTGGGGGAGAGCAGGTCAAAGAGTCACTCACACAGACTGTGCGTGCGTGGAGCTGAGATGGCCTGAGACCGTGCAATGGCAGCCCTTCAGGGGCAGATGCCCACGTGTGAGTGCCATGTCGGCATGCGGCTCCTCAGACCTGACCCTCGGCCTTCCGTTCAGCAATGACCTTGTGCAGGGAGAGCACAACCGGGACTGCAGGGCGGCAGAGCCAGCGTCTGGGCCCTACATCTCAGGGGCTGCAGGCCTGGTTTGGCCCGTCTGCCGTCCTTGCTCGGAAGGTGAGGCGTTCCCTCCGCGGCCCTGGCCCTGGATCGGCCTCCGAGGGCAGGAAGGAGCAGCGCCCTCACCAGGCTTGCTGAGCAAGCCGGAGAAGCCCGGGAGTCCCGGCGGGTCCCACCTCACTGATCTCCATCCCAGAGCCCAAGGGAGCAGGTTAAGGTGGCGGCAAGTCTGTTTCTCTCTCTTTCCTGCCACCGCTGGGCCATGCTGCCCTCGCCTCCTTCCTAGCCTCCCTGCACTCACTGCTGCCCGCACTGTCCCCGCCACACAGCAGACACAGTGAGCTCTGTAAACCGTGAATCAGATCCAGCCCCTGCCCTGCTGGCCCACCGCCAGTGCCTTGCCGGTACTCCAATGACAGAACCAGAACCCCCTCGTGGACCCGAGCCTGCGTGGTGCTGCTCCTGCTGCATTTCATCCTCATGTCTCCATCCAGCTCCTCACTCATGGCATGCAGCTGCCCTGGCCTCCCTGCCTTTGTTCTTTCCATGGGCTAAGCGAGTTCCTTCTCTAGGCCTTTCCTGGCTTTCCCTTGGGGGCCATGCTCTTCCCGTGGTTCTTGGAAAGGCTGGCTCTGCTCACTGCTTGGAGAGGCGGTCCCTGACTACACTGATCTGGAGGAACCCCAAGTGACCCCCTGGCCCAGCCCTTCCCTTACCAGGTCCCTCACTTTTGTTTTCCCGGAAGCACTGTTATCAGAAGTGATCTGTAAGTTCCTTCCCTGTCTGTGCTCCACTGGGGCCCAAACTGTTCTGGCCTTTGCCATCAGCCCTCAGTGACAAAGTGGTGGCGGTCCCGCAGGGCCCTCGGGAGGGACACAGGCCACGGCATGCCAGCTGCTACTCACCTGCACTGCTTGTGCCCCCCGTCTGGCTCGAGCTGGGCTCTGCCACCGGGTTGCTGAGGTCTTCCACACAGGAAGGGACAGACGCCAGCAGGCCTGGGAGAGAGGCAGGGGAATAATCACAATGCACCCTGGAGGGACTGCTGAGGGCTGCAGGGCAGGTGCAAACAAGGCGGGGGTCCTGGGCCATGACAGTGTGATTCCCGTGACTACTCCGAAGCCCGACCTAGCCCCGTGTGCGGTGTCCTGGGCAGTGGGGAGGCAAGTCAGCCTGGCCGCCCGTAATACAGCACTCGGCCTCCCTCGGCAAATCTCCGGACATCCCCACCTACGCCCCCTGAGCCCACAGGTGCCACCCTGCCTCTCAGTGAGCTAGGGCTGGCGGGGAAGCCGTGGCTCCTTACAGAGTCCCCGGTAGCGAGAGAGCTGCTGGTAAATCTGCTTCATTCGCTCAATGTTGAGCCGGCTGGTCTCGGCGTGGTTGACGATGGGCCGTGGGTAGTCCACGCCGATGATGCACTTGGCGGCCTTCTGGATCGACTCCGGGGCGTTCCAAGGCTCGTAGATGTATCGAGAGGGGAACCCTTTCAATTTGGGCAGGTACCGCCTGAAACAGACAACGCGTCAGCACAACCAGGACCCTCCCTCAGAGGGTCGAGAGTCGCTCATCCTGGGTGGAGGCCACAGTGGCTGGGAGACGTGTGCCCCCTCACCTGATGTAGTCCCCACTGGGGTCCGTGCGGCGGCCAAAACCCACGGGGCAGTAGCAGTGGAAGAACTGCTGGAAGAAGGCGCTGCAGGACAGCCACATCCAGCTACCCGCGTTCACGCTGAAGTCCGCGTCCAGGAGCAGCTCGTCAAACACCTGGGCGGGGGCGGGTGGGATGTCAGCCTCCCCGGGCACCCACTGCCACGGCTCTCCCCAAGTCACCGCGTGCCCCGCGGGGAAAGGGGCCAAAGCCCTTCTGCTGGAAATCCCCATCTGCGCCCTCTGAGCCTGCGAGGAGGACTTGGAGGGCGTCTCCTGGCCCCAGGGGTCCCACCCCACCCCCGGGCACAGTGGGGCTGCCCGTGGCTGGGCCCAACAGCAGGCACAGGCCAGCTCCCCGACGAGCGAGCACTCACCCGGACCCCGCTCTCCCAGCTGACCCAGAGGTCCCCGCGGGTGAGGAAGCAGGCCACGGCGTGCCGGGCCAGGTGGTGGATCCAGCCCTCCTGCCTCAGCTGGGTCATGATGGCGTCAATCCAGGGGAAGCCTGTCTTGCCCTCGGCCCACTTGGCCAGGGCCTCGGGGTTGCGGTCCCAGGGGATCTGGATGCAGATGGGGTTCCCCTCCATGCGGTCAAACCTGGGGTTGTTGGTGGCAGCTGTGTAGAAAAACTCTCGCCACAGGAGTTGCCCAAACAGGGAGAGCGGGGGTGTGCTGTTCCGCTTCACCTGGGGGCGGGAGGGGCACGTGGATATTGAAGCCGGGCGCTCATCGCCGTGTCCCCAGGCCTCTCCCAAACGGGGGCTGCCACGGACCCGGCTGCTTGAAACGCCCTGCCCATGCGGGAGGACTGGGCCCCAGCAGCAGCAGCACAATGTGCCCCCGGCTGAAACCCCAGGCACCGGCTGTGCCGGCTCTGAGCAGCGAGGACGCAGCAGGGCGGTGGGCAGGGGAAGGGCATCCCCGCTGAACTCCGCTCTGGGAACCAGACTCCCCAGCCTGGGCGACAATCCTTGTCCTCGAGGGCCTCCCTGTCCGGCTCCCGTTTCTAGAACGTCAAAGGGACCTTCCTCCTCACTGCACACACAAAAGTGCTCTCGGTCTAGCTTTGGTTACATAAGTTGCATACGATAGCCTGGGTCTGGGTCCACGAGGGAATTAAGGGATCAGACCTGCCAATGAATCATGATTTTCCTGAAATCACAAGATTACCCACGGAAGCCACCAAAGCCCCCCCAAGCCATAGAACCCTGGCCTAGGCAAGGACAGGGAAGCGTGAAACAATCTGAGTGGCTGGTGCGTCACCCTCTCCTGGTCTGGGGACCATCATGGGGGTGTTTGCCTACGGTCTGCACGGCCCAGCCCTGCCCTGCAGGCAGCCCTCCGGGCCTCCTCCTCCTCCCTGACGGGTGGCCGCCGGCCCTGCTGGGTTCCCCTTTCAGTGCTCTGGACACGACCCAACAGGGCTGCTGTGCTCCTCAGCTGAGGACTGGCACCAGCCTCGCCCTACCTGCCATCACGCCGCCCCCCTGCCCCCATCCACCCGCTGCCAGCAGGCCTGCCACCTCTAGGGACACACCCTGAGGTCAGCTTTTCTGCCTGTCCTGTTCTGCCAGGTAACCTGGATTTCATGGAGATTGGTAGTGTGGGGCGCACTTGGCCCTGCCAGCTCTGGGATGCGGTCTCTCCCCCACCTTCTCTGACTGCATGCACACTCAAGCACCTCCAAAATCCACGGCCCACGCCCCAGCCCCGGGGCCAGAGGGGAGGCCCCTCTTCACGGTGACTGAGTGGCCTGGCAGGCCCTCCCTGCGCCCTCACCTTTTTATACAGGTCCCACAGGCGGTAGTAGAAGAGGCGGCAGGAGAGGCAGCCGAAGCGCAGGTAGGGGCTGAGGCCCGTGGGGCTGGCCAGCAGGGAGTTGGCGTTCATTCGAGGTCTCTCGTAGTTGGCAACCCAGGCCTGCGGCGAAGAAAGGAAAGGCCTGGACGTTACAGAGGGACAAACGGAGGCCCTGGGGGTTAAGGAGTCTTCCTGCGGTCACTGAACAGAAAGGCCGGAGCCAGGACTTGAGGACTGCGCTCATTTCACCCCTTCGCGCTGCTCGAATTTCCAACGGAACCACCATTAGACCGAAAAAATGAGGCCCAAGTGCTTGCCCTGGCTGTGCTATTTAGCTCCTGGTGTCAGGGGAACAAGTCATCTAGCCTCTCGGCTACTTCTCTGTGAAAGGAGAACAAAGTCCCCACCTCCCAGGGATCAAATACAACGACAGAGAGGAAAGAATCCTGTGAGCGCTGAGTGGCGTGTGCGCACTTGGAGGCAAGGACAAAAGCCACCCCTCCCCAGGAAAAACACCCCTACCTTTGTCCCCACTCCCGTCAGGGGCCTCCGAGGCTGCTGCTGCCCTGCAGCTCCCCGGGGACTTTCCCCGCCGTTCCACAGCGGCTGCAACAGGAGGGGCCCCGCCCATTCCTGGGGCCCCACCACGTCACTCACTCCTGGGGCCCTTTGTCATACAGGGTCATCGGACTGTTTTTATCACCAACTGCTGCTGGCATCGAGCTTTACTTCACGACACGCCGTTAGAGGCGTCTCTCATGCGATCTTAACGACCCTCTGAGGCAGCCCCCCCGTATCACTACCTCCTTTCCAAAATGATGTGACTTAGCTCAGAGGGTGACGTGGCCCTTCGGGGTTGCAGAGGGGCAAGAGGCAGGGCTGGGGGGACTCAGCGTCTGACCCCAGAGTCCAGTGTCTTTCGGCTACACCTGATAACTATGCTCCCTCTCTACCCCTCACGCCCCTCTTCTCTTCCTGGTGACTAACCACTTTGCAAACATGGAACCTCTTTATACCTGCTACCCTAAGCTTTACTCTGTGTGAAGCCACCAAGGCTACCAACTCCCCTGCACCCACACCGACCCCTGCCCCCCTGTGAGCCTGCCCCAGGCCACAGCCTCCAGTGGGCTCTGCAGCTCTCCCTTCTCCTGCACCTCCCGTCTCTCTCTCCAGATTCCATGCCAAGAATACGGGGGATATGACCTCGTTTCTCTGCAGACAGACACAGGAAAATAAAGGACTTCCAGTAGCCCTGTGGAACTCCACCTCCGGGCCCCCTTTCCTCGCTCACAGCCGGCCTCTCCCCTTCTCCACATCCACCTCCACTTTCTAGCCCAGCCTCCTACAGTTTTGCCTTTACTGCTCCCACCAAGCTGGTTCCCACCATTGCCCTGTGATTGGCATGCATGGATCCTGCAGGCTTTTTCTGTCCTTGGATTTCCCCACCCCTCAGCAGCACCTCACCCTGCTGACTACCTCCCCTGTCTGAGCTCTCCATTCATTCGGTGGCCTCTGGACACCACACGCTGCTGGCGCCACCCACCCAGCTGGCTGCTCTCACCCACCTACCCTCGGGATCCCAGGTTCTGTCCCAGGTCCTCCACTCAGCTGTGCTCCTAGGTGAGCTTGGCCAGCCCCACGGTCCTCAGACTATCCCTGCAGACCATCCTCACATTTGTACCCTAGCCCAGACAGCTCGCCTGGACCCCCGGAGTACTCCATCCAACTTCCTGCCGGCCAGCTTCCAGGCACCTCAAGGGTAACTGGCTCTTTCCTTTAAACCTCCCTTCCAGTGGTGTTCCCTATTGCGGAAAATGCACCTCACTGCCCAAGCCATTGGCCCGACCGTCACCTTTGACCCCTCCCTCAGCCAGTCCTGTCAGGTCTCCTGTCCAGATAGTTCCCAGACCTGTCCTTCTCTTTCCATTCTCCACTGCTACCGACCTGGTTCGGGCCGGGACCTCTCTAGCCTGGACAACCTTCTAGCTGACCTCCCGCATCTACCCTGTCCCCTTCTGGTCTAGTCTTCCCCACTGGGAGCAGAATGACCATTCAGAATGCCCGTCCCTCGGGACAAGGAGTGCACTGGGCCCCCTGTTGTTCTCGGGATAGAGTCCCAAGTCTCCCACCTGACTCACAAGCTCCCCACAGTCTTGGGGGGGGGCGTCTTTCCAGCTTCAACTCTCATCCCTCCTCCGTAAGCACCCCGAGGCCATTCGCCTTTGCACGGGCAGCGCCCCTGGTCTGGAATGTGCTCTTCCTTTCTGCTCACCTTCCCTCGGCTAAACTGGCCTCCTCCTTCAAGCCTCAGTCTGAAGGCCATGTCCGTAGCAGGCGCTCCCTCGGCTCTTAGGCTGTGTACCCCTCACTGCCTCGAGGGCTACTGGCCTGCTCCCATCCCAGTTCCCCTGGCTTTTTTAAGTGAGACACAGTGACAGAAACCACACAGATGTGTGGCTCAATGAGTCATCCTGAGGCGAACACTGCCAGGAATGAGAACTTTGCCGGCTGCCCTGGAAGCCCATCTATACGCTCATCCCTGCCCCGGTCCCTCCTGCCCCGGTCCCTCCTGCCCCGTTAAGTGGCCGCTCAGCTCACCGACCTCCCACAGTAATCACTTCCTTGCATTGGAAAGGTTTATATTTTTCTATTTTTGCAAAGCATATGGAACCCACCCCACCATTCTTTTAACATTATTTCTATAAATGATGACTTGTAAATTCACTCGTATCTACAGATAAACACTTGTTTGCTTAAAGGATTCTAGGAGTTAAGCTCAAAGTAAGCAGACTCCAGCCCGCAGGCACTTTGGCTCCAGGAGCCTTGCTCACCTTCCACAGTAAAATGGAGATGATGAAAACCAGACCGTTGCTTGACTGGCTCCAACATGGTTATCGGAGCTGACTTGTCCACAGAGACCCCACAACCTACTCCCTCCCTGCACTTCGTCTGTCCCGCCTTCCCCTTCCCCGCTCACGAAAACCCCTGCCTGCACCGAGATGGACAGATGGTCTTTGCGACACAGCCTGCGTCTTCTCAGGCTGCCGGCTCTTGAATAATTCAACTTCCCTCACACCATCCACTGCCTCTCACATCACTGGCTTTTTGGGTGGCAGGGAGCTGAACCTGGGTTTGGGGCCACATATTTGGAAGGGAGAACTTTATCACGGTTATTCCTTGTGTTTTTAAGTGTTTTACTTTTTTCATCCAAACGTGCATCCTTAGGCACTATAGTTTAGCCTGGGCCACTTAAGAAACTTTGATGTGTTATTTAAGTTTCTTTTATTCTAGGTACTTCCTGTCATTTCTTTCCCTCTCAGTATTTCTGTGGAGGAACCCGGACACTTGCCTCGTCCTGACTCCCAGCCTGGGCCACACTCACTGCACTCAGGGGCAGCGCCACACGGCCCTGTCCTGTGGCTGCCTGCCAACTGGTGACTGCCACCAGAGACTGGATTAGACTCAGATTTATCTCTTTGGCAAGACTACGGGGGAAACACAATATAATGCTTGATTTTCTCTCTCGATGGCGTAACCAAGTCATTAACATATAAGGTATCATCATTGGGGGTTGCAAAACAGTGGTATTCTAATTCTATCATCCCACTTTCATCTAATAATAGATTACTTTCACAGAGAGGTGCTCATTCTCATCTACCATTGGGCAGCCTAGTGATACGGATCATACAGCCTGCCTGCCTGGGAAAGCATCCCTTCCCCAGCCAGAATGACTGAGTCAGGAATAGTCACATGACCCAAGCCTGGCCAATGAAAACACTCTCCGGCACTTCTTCCGGAGAAGAGGCACACAGTTTCCTCTGGTGCCACTGAGCAGCCTGGAAACAAGCTGCTGGTGATCCCCTTTGCTGGTCAAGGAAAGCCTGACTGAGAATGAAACAATACAGAGGAAAGCGGAGCTGAAAGATGGAGAATGTATTCCTGGCAGCACTACTTGGATACCCTGATCCAGCTGTGCCTGAAGGAGCTTGGTTATGTGAGTTGAAAGAACTCCTTTTTTAAAAGCCAACTTGCCAACAGGAACTGATTCATATAGCCCTTCCGTTCTTTGCTCCCTTAGCCCTCTGCACCACTGGGCACACGGTAACTCCTTGTTTCACGTCTGTCGTCTCCAACAGCCTGTGCTTCTGCAGACAGGCTCCGTGCCTGTCTTCCTGGGCGGTCTCTCTACCGGCCAGATCACCTTGACAGGAGTAGATGCTCACTTCAGATTTGGAGAACTTAGGTTTTCAGTGAGCAATAGTCACGTCTCAGATAAACCTCGTTGGCTACGACAACTGCACAAGTGCCACTGCACAAAGCTCAAAGAAGTCACTACCATGAGGTGGAACTCCCATCCCTCAGGCGCCTTGTGTCCTCCCAGGTGTCTGGGACATGGCATGCCCTCTGGCCACTCCTGAGTGCAGAGGGTCCTGACACAGGCCCCACAACAGAGGACGCCCTTCAGGCCTGTGTGGGAAGGGGGCCGGGACTTGATGGCCTTAGGGGCATTCCTCTACAAACTGCCTTTAAGGTGATGATAATCCACACGGCCATCTGCTGGCTCTACACTTTTAGGTCTTATTCTGCATCTGCCATCCCATTTGTCATCTCTACCCTTTTGTCCCCTTGGCCCACCTTTGTCTTCCAACAAGCCAAGGACCTCCGGGGAAGGCTGCTGACTGGGACACAGACAGCCGGTTCCCTCCCAGCCCGGCCACACAGGGGCATCAAGGCTGCTGAGCCCCAGGGAGGCCCGGCCCTCGGCACCAGCAGGACTGGGAAGCGTTCTTCCTGGGCAGGCCTGCCGTGGCTCCCGGTTCCCTGGTTCCCGCCCAGCCTCTGCGCAGGAACACAACAAGCTGTGACTTTAGGGACCAAGCCTGTCAACTAGTTGCAGGGGGCGGGAAACCAGAGGCCGACTGCCCTCGGTCACGAGAACCTTTTCTGCTCCTCTAGTCCCAGGGTGGTGGGGCCGATTCCCACTTCCCTGGGAGGTGGGCCGTTTGTTCTCTGGGTCCGAGCAAAGGGAAACCCATGCCCTGGAGGGGACCCAGCAAAAGGTGGGAGGACACATACATGCAGAATAGTTCATCTCATGGACCTTACTGGTCAGATACCCTCCTTGTAAGGGGGACGTGCCCAGAGAGGAGCGAGAGCAATCTAATGTTAAGTGTTAGACTCAGACAGAATGAGGTCTTACTCTGCTACTTACTAACGACGTGACCCTAGGCAAGTTTCGCAACCTCTCTGAGCCTTAATTTCCTCATCTACAAAGTGGAGAGCTGACCTTGTAGGGCTGCTGAAAGGATTTAAAAAAAAAAAACAAGCAGGGACCTGACCCTGAAATCCTCAGCCCAGTGACCAGAGAGGGTGAGCACTCACTGAATGGTAGCTGCTGTTACTGCTGCTGTTGCTATGGCCATTGACAAGAGTTTTCTTCTTCTTTTTAAAAGATTTTATGTATGTATTTTCAGACAGACGGGGAGGGAGGGAGGGAGGAAGAGACGGAGAGAAACATTGATGTGCGGGAGAAGCCCTGATCGGCTGCCTCTCACATGCCCTACACCAGGGACCCGGCCCACAACCCAGGCGCGCGCCCTGGCGGGCAACCTTTCGCTTTGCAGGACGATGCCCAACCACTGAGCCATGCCGGTCAGGGTGAAGGTTTTTATTTTTCAACCGCTTTGAGCTAAGAGGCACTAAGGGACATGAACCTGACACCCCACACTCACCCCCCAAACTGCAAGGGTGTCAACATCTGAAGTTCTCTGTCCAGGAAATGAGGGCCGTACCTTCCGTTCCAAGTGCTTATCCAGGCGGGCCAGAGCTTCGGTCTCTCCTCCTTGCCAAACAGCTGGGCCAAGCCCTTCTGTGGGGAACCCTGCAAGAGGAGGGGCAGGTCACAGGGCTGGAGGTCAGGCCGCTCCCGTGCTGGCTCAGCGAGTCTTGGCACACTGGTCTGTTCCTCGAGCTCTGCAAGCACCAAACCGCAGTGTCCTGGGTGCTACTGGGCCTGAGACAGTCTGTAACGTTCCCGTGTTTTACAGGCCTCTTCCCACTGTGACTTTTCCCTCTCCTTCCCCTTGCCTGCCCCTCCTAGCCACTCCTGCCTGCCAGGCAGATGAGAGCAATCCCGGACGGGTCGCCCTTGCCGGTCAGCTGGCAACCACTGTGGTTTTCAGGTGAGAAAGCTAACTGTGTTCAGATCAAAACTCGGGGGTGAGGGGAGGAAGAGGAAAGGGGGAAAGCATGTAGGCTGTAACTTGAGAGGCCTCCCCTGCTTCGACAGAGGCACTATTAGTTATCTTGGCACTGAAAAGCCCGCTGGTGCCCGAACCAGACCATACCTACATCATTTGAGGGAGAAAAGTGGAAAAACAGAGGCGTGAACTACAAACGTAAGGTCACATATAGGAGCACAGACAGAAAAAAGACGAGAAGGGCAAATGCCGAAATTAGCAGTGGTTATCTCCGAGTGGTGGGTAGTGGGGATTGTTATTTCCATTTTCACTTCTCTATGCTTCCCAAACTGTCTGTAATAACATGTATCACTTTGACGAAGAAGGAAAAAACCAGCAAGGTGTTTTACAGAAGAGGAGGGGCCAGCCTGAGGGGCGCGGGCCGGGTGTACGCACCCAGCTCCTCCAGGGAGGGCACGCCGTAAGTCTCGTCGTGGTTCTCCTGGATCTCGGCCGGGCAGCGCTCCATCTGCTGGCTGGTCACGGAGCCCACGGGCTTCCGGGGCAGCTCCATGCGGCTGATGATGGCCTGAAAGCGCTTGTAGGTGAGGGGTGGCTTCTGTCCGTTCAGCTCAATGATCCTAGGAATCCCAAAGTACACCTGAGGTCACGCGCAAGGCCCTTCATTTCAGGTCCCAGCCCACCCATTAAGGAGCCCAGACTTCGAAGGCTTGGAGGGTGCCTTTCCTACCTGCTCACAGGCCCCACCCCTAGGTGAAAGGAGAGGCCAGGGAAGCCACACCTCCCATTTTACAGAGAGGGAAAGAGAAGCCCAGAGAGCGGGAACGGGTGCCTCGGGTAATGGAGCAAGGCAGGTAATGGAGCAAGGCGGGGCCAGGGCTGGGGCTCAGTTCCAGGCCCCCTGGTGTCGACGTGGGGCCGCCTAAAGACAGAGACAGACCGGATCTCTCTAATCACGGAACCCCCACTAGCCCTCTCGGGGCCAGGCATGGCTGCCCCAGCCAGGAGGGTCCCCGAGGACCTTCCTCTCTCCCCCAGCCTTGTTCCGATGAGGGCTGCAAACGCTTCTTCTGTGGGACAGTCATGCCCTTCTTGGCCCCTATTTCCTAGAACAGAGAGGTGAAGAACAGCCTCTCCCCCCTAAATCAGACCCTGGAGCTGGAGTTATTAACAGCAACAACTCATATTGAAAGGGTATTTTGCTGTTTATGAAGTATTTTTTCATGAACAAGGGAAGCACAGCTGCACTCAGGTAAGAAAAGATACAGGAGAGTGTGGAGAATTGAGGCTATTTATATAAGGACAGACTGGGGTGGGCTGGAGCCAGAGTCTGGGCTGTTGCTGGCCCAGAAGCGGCCTATGCAAACCGCAAACCGGCTGGCTGGGCGAGTTCATTTCTAGGCTCACCTCTCTCTGTCCTCCACTAGGGGAGTTACGACTTTGGCTGCGGCCCTTGCAGTGCCTCCCTGCTCCTCCTCCAGCACTGGCACGTGGCAGGAGGAGGAGTTCCACACCCCACACTGCCTCCTGAGAGCTCAGCTCACATGCAGAGCTGTGTGACCCGGCCTCTTGGCAGCCGCTGCTGGGCTGGGGAGAGTGGGGTGGGGAGAAGTGGCGGCTGCCAGCTTGGCAGCGGCAGGAGGATAAAGGCTCTGCCAGGGGAGGGGAGGAAAGGGTTTCCTCCCAGAATCTCAGAGAGCACAGAGGCCGGCCCCAGAGAAGGAGGCTGCCCTATAGTTGTCAGCTCCCTGCAGGCACCTCTAGGGCCTCCTGAGCAACATCTAAATGCATGACCTGGAGACCCAGGAGCCAGGGGAGCCCAGGGAACACATATCAGGTACAGACACAGGGCCTGTAAGAACAGAGATCCTTTGGGGGGGGGCTGCATTTGGGGCTCACTGAGGTCAGAGGGCAGCCTTTCGGGAGCAGGATGGGAGGGGAGTGTGAGGTGTGGACGGGACTGGAGCACATTAGGAGCAGATCTGCGAAGACCTTCAGTGGGGGTGCTCTCTGCTTCCATCCATTGGGCCCAATGAGCCTCTTTGCACCCAAATCAGGTAAAGCTCTCTGTGACTTGTTTTACAAGCCCAACTCAGGTCCATTCACCTCCAGCTTCTAGAAAATTCCATACCTCATGTGCCAGGTAGTCCTATTGCTAAACCTCTGAGTTCAGTTCAGCGGCGGCCCAAAGTACCAGCTCCCACAATGGGTCACCTGAGCCCTGGGCCCCCTGGCTTACCTGTCCAGGTCATAGAGAGTGTGCGAGTTCTCCGTCACCACCTCTACACCCGCCTCCTTGGCCATCTTCATGATGGCAGCATCCCGTTCCTTCCCAAAGGGTTCCGAGTCATATTCAAAGGTCAGGCGGGTCACCCCCCATTCCTGTGGAGAGGGAACCTGTTATGCTGAGCACTGCTTGGGGAAGAGGGGGAAGCTGGGAACTCAGCTCTTTGCTGGGAGGGGACACAGTGGTTAGGGACCTGTCAGAACAAGGCAGGGACAAGGAGTTGCACTGGAAATTAAAGAGCCTGGGGGTCACAAGGTTTGGGGGGGCAGGCCTTTGAGTGAGGAGTCTGAGGCAGTGGTCTCTCTGTGGAGTCGGGAGAGATATGGGTAGCCCTGTGCACCTGCTGTGTCCTTGATGGAGCAAGATGCAGCAGGAGGCTATAAATACAATGTTCTCAGGGGAGCCCCCATCCTAGACAGGGCACTGACTCACCAGTGGAGACAGTGGCGGACAGGACTGCCACCTCCCCCCTGCTCAGCAAGCCTTTCCCAGAGCTCCTCACGGCCCTGCAAACTTCTGGCCTAGTTTCCTTGGCAGACTTGTACTATGTGAAGTGTCCTAATGGTTTCCACAGCAACAGTCCCGAGGCCAATAGCAAACAGAGCTAATAGGCGCCAGCTCTCAGAGTCGGGGAAGGCAGAACAATCCCGAGTCCAGAGGTCACAGCAATCAAACCGGAGGGGACACGTGTTTAAAAAAGGGGGGGGGGATTCTTTTCTAAGTATTAAGACTCTTCTAATAGAAATCTCTAGATTTCCTTGCAATGCTGAAAGAAAGCTGCCCTGTGAAAGGTTGTACAGATAACCACCCCAAAACTCTAGAGCATGCAACTAGCAAAAAGAAAACCATATTCTAGCCAACGTCCCTGGTCACGGTCCCTTAAAACTCCGAACCCTCGGGGGCAGGTGTCCTGGCCATGCACAGGCCGGTCTGGCCTGACTCAGCCCTGCCCGGGCGCGGGTCCTGCGCAGGGCCGGTCACCCCCTGCCCAAGGACAACACCAGTGAACACATGGAGCCCTTCCTTACTGTGCACCAAGTACCAGGCTGAGCCGGTCACGTACATTACATGTCAAATACCCACTACTCTGTCAATGATGATCAGACTGCTATTGCATGACACCTTCTCCAAGAAGCCCTCCTTGACCTTCTCCTTCAATATGATTCTCCTGCACCAAAGGCTGGCTTTCTCCCCCGCAATTAGCAGAGCAAAGAAAGACAGGAAACGTCATTCACTGAGCAGGAAACCTCTCCCTTAAACTCTTGGAGTGGGAACATAGCCCTAATAAATCTTACTAGTTTGAGCCAAGGAACATCTAAGGCAGTATCCAGGGTGGAATAATTTGCCACATCCCACGTCTGGGCTGAGCCGGGAACTCCCTAGCAGATATTCTGGTTTCACAGAATTTCTCCCTTAGCGCGGTGTCAGTCTGCCAGCAGGCTGATGGGGCGGCGTTTGCTCCCACCTTCCCCTGCGGTGGTGGTCGGCCCAGCCCTGGCTGTTTCCACGTCCCTGGTTGGAATGTCCTCTCTCTCAGTCTGTGGGGGAGCCCTGGGGAGCAGAGTCTCGGGTCCTCTCTCAGACTCTGCACACTTACCTTGAATAGCCTTGGGAACACGTCAGCTGGCTGTCCCCGGACTACAAACAGGCGGGAGTTCAGTTTCCTTAAACTCGTGTCCAGATCTTCCAGAGACTGAAGCAGGAACCTGCAGAGCCCACAGAGGCCTTGTCAGTGGTGACACCGAGAGGCGTCGCTCTCTCCCCTCGGGAAGCAGGAAGAAGCCGGCCCATCGAACAAGTAGCATCAGTAGTACCAGCCTGGACAGGCCTAGGGTCCAGGCCAGGCGTGATGTGGTAGGGGACCAGGTAAAATCCGGGTTTTGCTCCTTACTAGCCACATGACCTTAGGCCATAACTTAACCTCTTTAGCTTTTCCCCTAATCTGTAATGTAGCATTGATGTTAGTACCTATCTAACGTCAACTACAGAATTGCTAAGAAACAAAAATACAATAATGCAGGAAAGACATCTTGTACAGTGCCTGGCATCAAGGAAACCTGGGTGAAATGTGCGCTGCTCTACTACTGTTTCTGTGAGCAGAAGCAAGTCACTTCTTCCTTCTCAGCGCCCGGCCCCATGTGTGAGTATCCATCCATTACAGGTCGATACCAGAATCGAATGGGAGGACAGATGAGAAAGCCATCTGAAACACAGGCATGCTAGCGCGGTACGGAAGCCTGAGGCCCTATCAGCAGAGACTGCACAGTCCTGGAAAACCCTGCCTGCCCGGTGCAGCAGACTCCTTGCCTTTCTGCAATCATGCCTCAGCTGCCGGCATGTCTGCTGCCACAGCCCCGCAGCCTGGGAGGGGGCCCCACTCCCCGGGGCTTCGTGTGGCAGGTGGCTCATTCTCCAGGCCTCCCCAGGGCTCTGGCCACCAGGTTCTCATGCCAAGAAGGAGAAGGCCTTAGAAGGTACTTTTCTATATGATATCCTCCTATGTCATCCGGGGTGGTGGCCGGGGTGGGGGTAGGGGGGACTCCAAGTACTTACATGACCTAGCCTGAGAGCTTGATCATCATGGGAAAGGGAAAGGAAATGAACATTTGTTGAATGCCTTCAGTGGTTTAACATTTTTATTTCAGCCCTGGCTGGTGTGGCTCAGTGGATTGAGCGCTGGCCTGTGAACCAGAAGGTCGCCAGTTCAATTCCCAGTCGGGGCACATGCCTGGGTTGTGGGGCTGGGTCTTTGGTTAGGGGCATGCAAGAGGCAACGAATCAATGTATCTCTTGTACCTTTATGTCTCTCTCTCTTTCTACTTCCCTTCCTCTATCTCTAAGAAGTAAAATAAATAAAATCTTAAAAAATTTTATTTTATATGACCACAAAAATTTACTGCCTGTTCAGCTAGGTATAATCACCTTTCTGAGAAATCCCATCCATACATTTTATGGTATGTATTTTATTTTTAAATGAAATAAAATTAACATTTTAAACAGATAACTATTCATACAGTTCAAAATTCAAGTTACAGAAGAGCACAGACTGAAAAGTCTCCTCTCCCTGTGTGCCCCAACAATTTAATTCCCCTTCGCAGGGGCGACCTGTGTTACCAATATTATTATAGTTCTGCTTTGCATTTTAGACGTGTTTTCTTTTTAATTCTCTGAACACAGTTTTAAAAAGATTTCATTTATTTATTTTTTAGAGAGGGAGAGAAAAAGAGGGAGAGAAGCATTGATCAGTTGCCTTTCTGACGGCCCCAGCCAGGGATGAAACCTGAAGCCTGGGTATGTACCCCAACTGGGAATCAAACCGGCGACCCATCGCTTTGCAGGAGGGCACCCAACCAACTGAGCCACACAGGGCAGGGCTCGCAACAGTTTTTAAAAAAGATTTCATTTATTTATTTTTTTAGAGAGAGGGGAAGGGAGGGAGAAAGAGAGAGAGAGAAACAACGATCAGCTGCATCTTGCACACCCCCAACTGGGGACCTGGCCGCAACCCAGGCATGGGCTCTGACTGGGAATTGAACCAGTGACCTTTTGGTTCACAGGCCAGCACTCAATCCACTGAGCCACACCAGCCATGACTCAACACATTTTGAAAGGAAAAATGATCCTTGCTTTATAGATAAGGAAAATGAGGCACAGACAGGGTAATTAATTTGCCTAAGGTCACATTTATTAATTAAGTGATGAAGCTGGGACAGGAACCTCTGGGTCAGGCTGCTTTCTTCTCTTTCCCCATTTCTAAGGCCTCGTACTGGCACGCTAACCACGGCTCTAGGGGCTGAGATCCGCAGGCCCTCGTGTGTTTGGAGTGCCTCTCCTGACAAACACAAACCTGACCACGGGCAGTCCACCGACACTCTGACCTGCCTCAGGAGCTAAGCCCTAACAGGCCAGGTTCCTCCTGTCTCCCCTTCGCACCTCCACCCATCCCCGTCAACAATGGGGACCACCAGACTTTATTTTGAGCACTTTTATTGTGAAACCCTGTGCCTCCTCGCGGCACATCACACGCCTTGCCGATGGAGGCGTACAGAGGCAGCGACTGTTGCGAGGCTGCCAACTAGACCCAGCCCCCGCTGCTGCCTCTGACGTCCGCAGCACGACACTCCTGCTGTGGTGAATGCCACAGAGCCACATTCCAGCGCAAGCTGAGTCCCAGCCCAAAGCTGCAAGGACTCTCCCAACCAAGGGTTGGGATGGGAGACTGACCTCCAAGGGGTTAGGTGGGAGGAGAATGACTGGCTGAATGGTGCATTAAACAAACCCAAAGCTCCGCCTCTGTGAATTTCTGGTTTTGAAAAGCTGACGCCCTCAGAAAAGGAAAGCTGAGAGCTAGCTGAGTGACGCACTTGCACTGGTGCTGGCCTCCTCCCAAACCTCACCGCTCCTCCCGGGAGCAGGATCAGAAAGAACCTTGTAAATAGCTTCATGCCACCTGAAACCTGGGCCCCGCCAGACAGAACGCCTAGAGATAACTGGTGACAAATTGCACAACCCCAGGACAGATGGTCCTCCATCTGCAGCTCCCAGGAATGTCCTTGCCATCCACTCTGGGGCCTCTCCCTTCACAGCCCACCAGGCCACACAGGACTTCATCTGAAGCTGTAAATAGGCTCACACGCACATCTGAAAACCAGTTTTCGACTGGTCTCTACAGAACTTGATTTCTCTCTGCTAAAAGGAGAGACTCCTTGCACCATCTCTTAAGTAGAGCTGACTCCATGAGAGCCTTTGCTCCTTTGACAAGTGATGTCGGAAGGCCCAACTCTGAGCGCAGCAGCCAAATGGCAATAATAGCAGCAACAATGAACATTTAATGAGCATTTCTGATAAATGAGGCCCTATCCTACTCGTTTTACATACACAGCCTCATTAATTCAAAACAGCTGTTTGACACAGACGCTATTATTATCCCCATACTACAGATGAGGAGACTGAGGCACCAACAGCACCTCAAATAAATGGCCAGAATTCAAACTCAGGCAGTATGTGTCAGCATCTACATTTTTAATTTTTGTAATTAAAAAAATATGTTTATTGAGTTTAGAGAGTGAGAGAGGAAGGGAAAGAGAGAAAGAGAAACACAGATGTGAGAAACATCAACTGGTCACCTCCCATATGTAGACCAACTAGGGAGTGAAGCCGAAACCTAGGCATGTGCCCCGACCGGGAGTGAACCCCAACCTGTTGGTGTACAGGACGCTGCTCCAGCCAACCAAGCCACCTGGCCAGGGCAGTATCTACATCTTAACCAGCAGGCCCCACTGCCTGGTGACCAGGGCACTGAAGCTGTGCTGCCCGGGGCTCGGGGAGCACCTTTGCTGCCGGGGCCCCGCTCCTCTGAGGATCAAGAGCTGGGACCCTCCCAGAAGCTTGTCGAAATGCGGAATCTCAAGCCCCATCCCAGAACCTCCAGAACCAGAATCTGCATTTTAGCAAGGTCCCCTGGGGAATCCTTCACATATTAAAGTTTCAGAAGCACTGTTCTAGGAAACAGAACTTCACTTCTACCTCTGTTTGTACGGTGCCTTTCTTTGCTTCTTATTGGTTTCTATAAACTTGCTTTCTTAGAGATCCTGGTTTCTGCCTCCTCACTGGCCTTCAGAAACGTGGTTACTTCCAACTTGCCCCTTTCGTCAAGCGCTGCGGGGCTCCTGCAGCGAGGGAGGCCTCAGGATGGCCTCCCCTGGAGGCAACAGGCCCCTAGGAGCCCCAGCCTTCAGGCGGCCAGAGAAAGAGAAGCTGCTGCCACAGCGCCACCTTTGAGGCCTGCCAGGTGACAGCTTTGCACAACACGAAAGGCATGCGGGGCAGTGCCGCCACTGGACAAATGGTCACTGCGGCAGGTGTGTGCTGAAGCTTGGGCCCTTTGTGCTTCCGCAGAGCCCTTCTCTCCACACGGCCAGTTTCTATTTCAGCAAGGGGGCACTCTACAGAACACTGGCCTGGGCACTGGAGACGGCAGGGACTGGGGCTCAGGGATTGGGGCTCGCAGCTCACCCCTGGCAGGCTCTGAGCTGAGCTCACGTGGCCAAAATTCAGAGCACACCCTTTGGATCAGACAACAAGTGCAACTGCATCACATTACATAAGTGCTCTGGAGCCAGAGGCAGACAGCACCGGAAAAAACCAAATTGGGGTTTCCAAAAATATAGAGACGACTCTGTAATTCACCACTCCATGGGACTAGCCCTACAGATAAGGCAGGCAGATCCTCTGGTTGAGCATGAGACACGCAGACGGTGAGGGAAGGCCTTCTCTAGAGATGGCAGATTCTGTGCTGAGGAATGTCCCATGTGTTAGCAGGGGGGAGGAGGGTGACAGTTAGTTCACTTCGGGTCCAGATCACCCTCGATCAAGTTTCTCTGCTCCAAGCCAAGGTTATCTAACTATGATGCTGACATTATAGGCTTACCCGGTCTGGCTACATCGAATATTAATAGAAATTAATTTCTCCTAAGGAAGAGAGCTTATTACCCCCCCTAGAAAATGAGAATCCAAGCCCATAGCAGAGACCGATCTCTAAGTTATCACCCAGATAGAAATATATTTATTCTTTCCTGATTTCCAAGTGAAAGATGAAGATGAAGGTTTTCATCTCTTTTGGGCAAATGGAAATATTTCCTCAGCCACAAGGCAGTAAAGCGACATGCTTGGTACCAGTGTGAACAGCTCAGGGAAAATCAAATTTCCCCACAAGTAGACTACGGTTCTCAATCCCCTTCTAGCTGATTGAGTTCCAGAAAGAACCACCCACGTCGCTAACAGCCCAACACTGTTAGCTCCCAGCCCTGAGGAGAGAGACGCACTTGTTCTCGCTAGGCATTCTGGGAAATTTGCAGTTTCCCTCATTCACTAATTCTGAGCTATGTGCGGTGATGTTTTATTTCTACCAACTCCCTCTGACCCAGAAGCTCCTGGATGCCAGTGCAACAGAGAGCCAGGGATACAATGATTTATTGGGCTGGCCAAAAAGTCCGTATGGTTTTTTTCCATAAAATTAAAAGACACTTTTTCATTTTCACCAATACCTTTACTGATTTGGATATTTTGAGTTTGTCAGCTATCTCCCATGTGGTATAACATTTATTGTTCTCAATTAATATCTTGATTTCATCACTATCAACTTCAACCGATCTACCCCACCATGGAGCATTGTCCAGGGAGAGACCTCCAGTACGAAACTTCGCAAAGCACTTTTGACACATTTGATAAGACACAGTACCTTTCCTATACATTGCACAAATCTTATTTTTGTGTTCCAGTTGCATTTTGCCTTTATTGAAATAAAGCATAATATGTTGAAAATGTTGCATATTTTCTTCCATCTTTAATATTAAAATGGCTACACAAAAATTAACCAATTTTGATGTGTTTTTTTTTAATGCTGTGCTGATATGACAGTTGTCATGATACAATCGAACAAAACTGTACTGGATGAAGTTAAAGGCAACTAAGTGCTACTAGAGCCATCCTACGGAAAAAAACCAAACGAACTTTCTGGCCAGCCCAATACATAAAGGGTGAAGTGAACTGTGGCCAACAAGTCTACCTAAGTTGCAGCAGGGAGAGGAAGGTAAGGAAAAACTGCAAGGGCCTATTTTGAATACCCATCTTTAAATCTAGAAGCTGCCCACTCCCCCGTTTTTTTTTTTTTTTTTTTCATTTGTTCTCACATAGTACCTCTTTCCAGATGCAGCATATTTGGGGAAGGTGGGGCTGGGAAAAATAGCAAAGGGCTTAGCCAACTAGTGCTTGACAGAAAACATCCTGAGGCTCACGTAGCTACAGTTAGCTCATAAATTTCCCACTACCACCAAGGCTGGGAGTATGCTAGCCCTTCTCCTAAACTAGTAAATATACATATTTCTTGGTTGTCTTTCTCTGTCTCCTTTTAATCTTTGAAAGTGCCATTCATGGTTATTTGAATCTGATTCATCTGCAGAAAAACACTGTGCGGGAGGCAGTGTAGGAAGAGCGGGAAGATAATGGAGATCACAGATTGCGCTTCCCCCCACCTCTTGCAGATGGCTCAGGGCCCACCCCTTCTAGGGAGGCTTCTCAGAGGCAGCAGCTGAAGTATCTGCAGAGCTAGGATGTTATGCTGCTGCACAGTTGTCCCAGATCCAGAAGCAGCCGCTGGAAGATTACACACAACTGCAGTCATGCAGAGGTACTGCTGGCTCCATTACACCCCCAAACCCCCACCGGGTGCACAGGACAGTCTGCAGCTCTGCCCTCGATCTGACCATGGGAACAGAGAGCATGGTGGGGGTGGTAGCAGTGTTTCCAGGCCCAGGAGCAGTTATCACATTCGACTTGTTTTGTATTATTTCACCTGTTACTTCTGAATGCCAAAACTAATTAGACTTCCTGCCAATGCATGGTGACACATTCCCAAGTGGCTCACGTCTGTGGTTCTCTAGTCCAGTGCTTCTTGGGCTTGGCTGCACACAGGAGCTTTAAAAACCCTAATGCCCAAGCCACAACCCAGAACAATTAAGTCAGACTTGGGGCAAGAGGGAGCCCAGGCATCTTTTAAAGATCCTTCAGTGATTCCTATGTGCAGCAAGACTGAGAACCACTGCTCTAGTCTGTCCCCCTATTTTTCTCTATCTCATGACACTTAGTTCTACTAAAATATGGTTGTTTAGTTGTCTCCCTCTGTTACAATGCAAACTCCGGAGCTCTGGACGTCATAACTGCTTGTTCACTGCTGGGTTCCTAGCAGCATCTAGAGCAGTGCCTGGCACTCACTAAATAATTGCTCAGTTAAAATCTGCATTCCTCCACGGCCTCTGCCTTCAGGATTGGACTCAGGCACGAGCTGTCACGTTCCTTTTTTCTCTTCACTCTCTTCTCTTTCACTGGAAAGCACAACCACAAAAGGGTGACCCAAAAAAACCCATAAACACCTTGTTCCTAGCAAATCTGAGTTTTATCAACAACAGTTTTTGTTGTTGATTTTTAATCTCTACTACCACAAAAGAGGAGGCAGTCCCAGCCAACAGCCTCTACAACCCCATAAAAGAAGAAACTCCTTCGTGACAATGTAACAAGCAGGTGCCAGATTCCACTGACTCTGCTCTGGCTGGCACCCGGCCATAAGTAGAGAGGCAAAGTCTAAGGCTTGGTTTAATGTCCACGGCAGCGGTGGTCATTTGAAGATGTCTATCAAACTCAAGCTCCTATCTATGGAAACTGGAGCAGAGGCAGAGCGACAGAGCAGCCTGGAAACTGTGTGGGCAGGCTCTCCACAGGAGTATCTTTAGTCATTCCCTCGATATAAATGGGCAGGAGGGGGCATTTCAGAGACCCACTTGCGAGGAGCACACACCCTGGAGAGGAAAGATTGTGCCGGGAGCCACTGTATCCTGCGGAAACCTTGCCCATCAGCGCAACAAGGCCACAAGCAAACATTGCCCAGAACACTGCAAACAAGCCAGATGGCTACCGAGGGAAATTTTAAAGAGAGATGGGGACACAATGTCTCAAAATTCCTTGGTTTTCAAGACCTGCTACAGAGAAAATAATCAACTACCTATTTATTACTCCTTTCCCATGATCCTCTGGACTCCATCTTCTGGGAGTCCTTAAAGAGGGGCCCTTGATATCACAGCTTTCCTGCTCCCTAATCTTAGCACATCAGTTGATGAAAGTCTAATCTATAGTGGCTCAACTGTCCTTTAAAATCAATCTCATGAGGAGTTGTGGAAGTGACACTTTGGTTCTTTTTTTTTCTGTTCTAGCAAGCTCATAGCTGCTAAGGTAATTCTCCAAAATGGGTTAAGTACTGCTCTCTAGCTCAGGACACACTGTGCCACCAACTGAACGCTCCCTTAAGGTATTTATCTATAATAAAGGGGAGACCAGCACTGACCTTATTTAAGGCTAAGCCAGAGTCCCTAAAAACCTTCGGAGGCAGGTCAGTCTTGGGGGAGGGAAGCCAAGGAAGGGTGAAAGGACAATTTCAAACACACCAGAGGCTTAACAATGACCTTCAGGACCCCGGCAATGCACTCTACTTGAAGAATGCAATCATCTCTGTGGAATAGATTCAGAAACCTGACCCTACCCTAACAGCATGATATCTCCTTTCCTCCCCGCCCCAGCACACCCCTTAGAGCCCTAGACCAGGAGTCTCTGTTCTGCCATTTACTGGCTATAAGACCTTGAGCAAGTCAACTTTGTGTCTCCAGGGCTTAAGAGTCTCATCTGTACAATGGGGATTGTGATTTCTGTCCCACAGGAATGCTTGAGGCCCAAAGTGAATAACACTCAGTGCTGAAACACTTTGTCAGAGGTCGAGCCCCGGGCCACCCAGGCCATTGGTTTGATGACTAATTGCTTCCCTGGTCCTTGATTCTCCTCTGGAGACCGGGCTCGGTCTCCCTGCTCCACCTTCCCAGGCCAGGGTCTTCCGGCTGTGGGGACCGGGGAGTAGGACATCCTCCTCTGGCTGGCGTGGCGCGGGGTGGAGGGGGCTCTTTGCCGGGAGCCTCAGAGGCCAGGCTGCGTCCCTCTCCCCGACCCCCGCTACCAAGCCCGCGACCCCGCCCCGGGGCCCCTCACCTCCATCGGTTGATCCCGACCGAAGAGGAGGCCGCGAACCAAGGGTCGAGGATGTAAACGCAGCGCACGCAGCGCGCCCCCCGCACTGCCGCCAGCAGCGCCGGATTGTCGTGGAGCCGAAGTCCCTTGCGGAACCAATGCACTGAGGAGGCGCCATCCGTGCCGGCCCCAGTTGCCGGAGCCGCTGCCGCTGCCGTCACCGCTGTCGCCGCCATCACTGCCCAGACTGCTCTGATCACTGCCGCTCCGCCCCTGTTAGCGCCGTGGGCCCCGCCCCGCCCTCAGTGACCTATGACGCCGCCGCTCCTCTCTTTGGCCCCGCCCCAAAAGCTCTGATACATCTCTCCCATTGGCTTGGACCCTCCCGCCGGGCGATTGGACCAGAGGCACTGAGTCCGGCTCCGCCCCCTCACGTTCCCACCATGTGTCGGCTAACACGCGAGCCGCGGGCGAGCAGGTAGGGTGGTGCTGGCTGGAGTTCTCCGCGGAGATCTGGGCACCGACCGAGTCTCGAGAGATAGCAGATCTCTTACGTGCGTCCTGTTCAAGGCCTGCCTCAGGAAGAAGCTGCCTGGGCTTGGGGGTTGGCGGGGAGGGTTGTTGTGACTCCAGACAATGACCTACAGAACTGACATCCTTGGCAGTCCTACAGCACCTTGTCATCAACATCGTCATCATCATCTACCGCAATCAGTTACATCATCTACACCATTCTACTACACCCTCTATTAAGCACACTGTATATGCCAAACAACGTGATAACCTCCTTATATATAACGTCTCATTTACTATTCTCAACGCAGGCCAGTTGCATTCATTCAACAAACCCCAGTGAAAGAGATGTTGTTATTCTCATTTTACAGACAAGTAAACTTTGAGGCTTCTGTAGGGTGAGTGACTTGCTGAATATCATAAGAAGACTCTACCCAGATTGTTGTGATTCCTGATCTGCTTTTATCCAGAAAGCTATACTTTCCTCTGCGCTGAGCAATTTGACATTTGAAAGTGGCAGACAGAGTCTGAGGAGGGGGAGGAGTGCCCTGATGGCTTGAGAGTGGAGACTGGGATGGTGGAATATGTGGATTGAGATAGTAATTATTCCATCAGACGAATTTATTCTCTAGCTCTATGTTTAATAGACCCAATGGTACCAGTGTGCACAGACACTACTGGAATTACCTGTGGGATTTAGAGATGTGATGGGCGCCGTCACCACTCCTGATCTGGGGAGCTGGAGGGAACCCTCTTATCCTTCTGCAGGCTAGCACTGGGCTTGCTGATTAAAAGGCAAGAGAAGTGTATGACTACCTGCAATGAAGTTTTGGTGGTAGGTTAAAATGGTCCAGTCACATTGGAGCTCTGGGAGTATCAAATGGAGAACAGTCTGTTTCAATTTGGCGCTAGGTTGTGCCCCTGCTTGGAATCCCTCCTGAACCTGGGAATAAGCAATGAAGGAATTTAGCAAGTCAGTGGCATTAATTGGCACCACTCTGCAAATCATGTTAATCCTCGGCTCTCTTTCGTTTCCAGGGCTTTGAGCAAGTTGTTTGCTCCAGCCTGAGCCACACTCCCCTCCCCATCCCCTTTCTAATTCCAGTTTGCCCTGTGTCACTGCTCAGTATAAATGTCACCTTCTTGCTGTTTTGTCCCAGCCTGGATAGTGCTCCATCTTGTTCTGTTCTTGTTCTTATCACTGGCCTTAATACATGGTATTAGAATTTCTTACCCGTCTGTCTGCCCCATTAGACTATAAACTCCTGGAGGGCAGGAGCCGCTGCTTATTTAGTTTTATTTCCAGAGTCTAGCTCAGTGCTTGGCACTTAATGGAGTAAGAGTTGAACAGAGACTAGAGTCTCAGGCTGGCGCGAACCCTCAGGGGCTCTCTTAGTCCTGACTCTGTTGTTATTTTGGGATGCCCTTTCCAAGTGCTCACTGAACAAGTAGATGCCATCTCCTGTCTCTTTTCTTTTGAGGCCTTCTGTTGCCCTTCTCCTACCCCTTTTCTCTCCACAAGGCTGATGGCCCTGTAAAAATGAAACAGAGAGTTTAAGGAGATGTTACCACATACGGCCTCAAAGGTGGGTGCTCATCTTTTTCTTTCCTGACATCCCACGATGCTTTCTCTACAAACGGTGAGCTCTATGAGGGCAGGGACCGTGCTCATTTTGCATGGCGGCGTGTTCCCCAGCACCTAGTTTGGTACCTGACATGTCTTAGGTACTCAAAAGATATTTGCTGAATGTAATATATCCCTATTTTATTAGGCTATTATGAGAGGCAGTATTGTATGGTGGTTAAGCCCAACATCTTGCACATTTGGAATGGCCGTGTTCAAATTCTTGTTCTACTTTGACTCTATGTGACTTTGGTAAGCTAGTTAATTCCTCTGTTCCCCTCTTTCTTGATCTATACTATAGGGATAATAGAAGCTTAGGATATAGTAAGCATTTGATAGGCATCAGCTATTGTTATTCTGAACAGCAGAATCTGTTTCTGCTTTTGTCTTCCTTGCATCACCTCACCCTTGGTCTCACACATAACAAGGGCTCCGTAACTTGCTGAGTGAATGAAAGACTTTACTTATTTTTAAGAAGCCCTCAAAATTATACCAAGAATGAAAAAAAAAGAGAATAATAAATAGTATTATTTTTTTAAACTAATAAAGAGAAATAATCACCATCAACCCCCCAAACAAATGGATTTTTGTGTCTTTATGTTATTTCCTAGACTGTGTCCACAAATGCTTTTTATAGCTTTAATCAAAGGAGAAATGCAGTATTGCATATGTTTTTAAACAAAATATTGAGCAATAATAAGCAATACTATCTATATTGTCATTATCTTCGTGTTTGTTATTTTAATGACTATATAATTCTTTGTCAATTTATTAAAGAGGGATTATTTTATTGAAGGATTGAGTATATTAACAGGGTATATTAACTGGGTAACATTCAAGCAACAGGAAGTAAATCTGGCACTGGATAGAAGAATAGAGTGCAACCTCAACTTCTGGACTTTACACTTGAAAAGAGACATGGAGAAATCGGAGAGAGATCAAAGAAACGTGCACATTGCTAAGGAGGTGAAATGTAATCACGAACTATTACATCTTTGAGAAAAATGATAAGCGAGGTTTGACTTTATAGCTATGTACCTGCTGTTTAGGAGCGTCTCTGAAGCGTGGTTGCTATGAGGACACCAAACAGTTGCTCCTTGTTTCCAGTGAGGGTAGAGCAAAGAATCTACTTTATCCTGGGAAGAGTAAAAGATTCAAGGAGGGACTTAGTGTAAAGTGGTGTAGGAATTAATCAAATTAGCCAGGTAGTGGAAGGTTTCTTTCCTTGCTGAAGATATTCAAGAAGAAAGAGAAGACTTCTGTTCGCCTTTTTGCTGCAGTCCTGCAAGAAGACTGGATTGGATAACCTTTTACATTCCCTTTGAACTGCGTTTTGTGTAAACATCTTATGATTGGTTGAAAGGTAACCAAGGGCGGGTGGGAGGGACGTCCCTAGCGAGGCTAAGTTACCCGCGCCCCCTAGTGGTGGGACTGTGAAAGAAGCGGCGGTTGTGTTTCCGGTCTGCGTCAGGAGAACCAGGGACCCCCACCCTTCTCCGTTTAGTAAGCTGCACACTCAGCAGTGGGCGGCAGCAGCACTGATGTTTCTGAGACTTCTGGCGAGAAACTTGAGAACATGGACCTAAAAGCCAGGCTCCTTGGGTTCCATTTCCAGCTCTGCCATTAACTAGCAAATTACTTGGGCAAGTTACATAGCCTCTCTGTGCCTCAGTTTCCTCATTTGTAAAATGGAGATGATGATGATGATACAGGTACAGCATGGGATTGGAGGAAGATTAATAAACCAAAGTCTCAGAATAAAGAATTCAGAAACAGACTCTCACATATCTGGTATTTTATTCATGACAAAAATGCCCGTGTAAAGAAGTTAAAAACCACCTGGGAACAGGTGGTTTTTTCCCATAATGGAAATGGGTCAATAAAATACCTGAGCATACTAATCAATTTCAGGTAGATTATATGTGGAAGGTAAAGCAGTAAAGTTTTGAGAATATTATATAGGAAACTATCCTTATGATCTCAAGGTAAACAAAAAAAATTCTTAAATAAAACATGCAAAGGACTAACCATGAAGGAAAAGAATGATAAATTGAACTCCAGTACAACCACAGAGTGGAAGAAGATAGTTGTAGCACATAATTCTTGAAGGGCTCAAATCCAGAATATTGAAAGAACCCTTACAAGCAAAAAAGAAAAGGAAGAGAGGCAACTCAACATGAAGTTTGTTCAAGGTCAGACTTGAATAAATACTTTCTACCCCCTCCCCCACAAAGGATATGCCAATGGCCAATGAACCTCCAGGAAACACAGATAAAAACCCCAATGAGATGTCACTATAGACTCAGTAGAGTGGATGAAGTTTAAGAACTGACACAGCCACGTGTTGGGGAAGATGTGAGTCACTGACTCACACACAGTGCTGGGAGTATAAATTGATACTTGAGAAACTCTCCAGTGCTCCATCCTAAATTTGAAAAAACAAATACCATATGGATTGTGAATGATACATCCTATGATGGAGTAATTTTATCCTTATCACATACGTGACAAAATCTGTGCACATATATACCAAAAGACATGTACAGAAATATTCATAACAGTATTATTAATAATAGTCCTAAATGTCCATGAGCAATAGAATGGACAAATAAATTGTGGTGTATTCAAACAAAGGGATACTACAGAACAATAAAAATGAACAAACTTGGGTGAATCTCGCAAATTTAATATTGAACAAAAGAAGCCAGACACACACATAAAAAAAACCCTCTTATATATGTATAGGTCTACTACAGAAAGTCCACAGCCAGGCAAAACTAAGTTATGGTGATAATAGCCAAAGAAGTAGAAGCAACTATTTCACATCAGCTGGTGAATGGGTAAATCAAATGTGGTGTATTCATACAGTGGGATATCACTTGGCAATAATAAAGAAGGAAGTACTGACATACAAGCTCTGTCCAGAAGGCATCCAGCCATATAATGTGAAAAATAGAGACATTTATTGAAGAAGATACAAGATACAAGAAACATTGTACATAGGAAAATGACGCCTCAGTCCCCTTCAAAGTAGGCACCTTGGGACTCACATAGTTCTTCCAATCACCATCAGCTGCCCTGTTTTATCTTCCTGAATCTTACTG